AGCAAAGCACCCACTAACAGCACTTCCGTCTTGTCTGGATTGAGTTTCAATTTATTAACCCTCATCCAGTCCATTATCAGGTCCAGACACAAGTTCAGCACAGAAACCACCTCACCAGGATTGGTGGAAAATGAGAAGTAGAGCTGAGTGTCGTCAGCATATTGCTGACTCCTCACCCTAAATCTCCTGATGACCTCTCCTAGTGGTTCCAAGTAGATGTTAAACAGCATGGGGGACAGTATCGAGCCCTGAGGAACTCCATGACATAAACCCCATGGGATAGAGCAACTGTTCCCCCAGCAGCACCCTCTGGACATGGTCAGCCAGGAAGGAGCAGAACCACCATAAAGCAGTGGCCCCAACTCCCAACCCAGCCAGCCTATCCAGGACACCATGGTCGATGGTGTCGAAAGCCGCTGAGAGGTCCAGGAGTATCAACAGGGTCATATTCCCCCTGTCTCTCTCCCGGCAAAGGTCATCGTACAGGGTGACCAAGGCAGTCTCCTTACCAAAACCCAGCCTGAAACCCGATTGAAATGGATCCAGAAAATTTGTTTCATCCAGCAGCGCCTGGAGTTGCCCGGCCACAACCTGCTGCAACACTTTGCCAAATAAGGGAGGTTCGCCACTGGTCAGTAGTTGACCACCAGCCTTGGGTCCAGGTTAGGCTTTTTTTAGGAGTGGCCAAATTACCGCCTCGTTCAAGGCAGTAGGGACAACTCCCTCTCTCAAAGAGGCGTTCACGGCCTCCTGGACCCAGTTGTGAACCCCCCGGCAGATCTTCCAATTAGCCAAGATGGGCAAGGGTTGATTCCAGGCAACTCCATAACATGATTATTACTACAGTGTTTCATTTCCTCATTTTTTTCTAGGTTACATAAGATAAAATGATTTCAGAAAACATAGTTGTAAGAGATACTGAAAAACCCAAAATTCTTACAGTTAGGTAAACTGTAGGCACATAACTTTAAAATATATGAAAACATTTTGCAAATACCTAAGTCATTATAATCATGTTTCAAAACAGGAAGAAATACATGTGTTTCTTTATGAAGAGGAGAGACTTTTAAAAGTTAAAGAGAACAATGAAAAGTCATTAGGAATATACATGGGGACACCCCTCCCTCACAGGTGCTTATAAGGAGTGTCTGGCCCCCTGGGGCCAGATCGAACACTCACGATTCCACTGCTGCAGCGATCTCCGTGGTCCCTTCCTATCTCTTCATTGCTCAACCTGTCAGAGGAGCTCATCCCGCCTTCTGTCAGGAGTGGATAATCCATCATGAGCAACAGAGCGATAGTAAGGGACCACGTAGCTTGCGGCAGCGGCTGAATTATGTGTGCTCAGTCTGGCCCTACGGGGCTGGACCCTTGTTATCTGCACCTCTGGGGGATACTCATATACGAATACACCCATCTCTAATTAAGAAAAATACATCAAGTAAAATGCATTATTGAATTCTAAGTGAGCTTAGAGTAGAAGGGCACATGCTCACCCAGCCAAAGAATTTAGGGAGGAAATACATCAATGGTGACTGCTGTTCCTGGATGTGTCCTGCTTACAATGGTGTGGAGTTGTGATGAGTGCTTGGTCAGTCAGTCAGTCCCAGTGTAAGTATATTTGCAGTCAGTTTTCTTGCAAAACCCAAACAGTTACTGTCTCATAATACAAGCACTCCCTCTTATTCCGTTGGTCTTGTAGACAGGTGTTGAAGTGAATCAGTCGTTCATGGCATCCAGATGGGAATTCACTTGACTAATTGGCCTTCTCAGCCACACAAGACCTCTATCCAGAGCACATTACCACAGCCTCTCGAGACTGAAGGATGTCTACTATTTACATGTTAACCACTCTGCCAGTGTATAGCTAACATGAAACAGTTCATATCAATGTCAATAGATAGTGTTACAGGGTATATATATATCTGTGTGATAGACTCTAACCCTCAAAGCAGCCATTCTCAAGTGATGATATGCCCCTATATATATCTGTGTGATAGACTCTAACCCTTAAAGCAGCCATTCTCAAGTGACGATATGCCCCTCGGGGGAACGGGCACATTTGAAGGGGGGGAAACATATTGGAAACAGTTCTTGACATACCACCTGATATTCATTGTACAATTTATACAATCCTAATTCATCTTATATTTCTTCAAAATTGTGTTTATAGCCATGGCTAAAAAAAAAGGTTTTAAAATACCTGCTTTGAAGCACAACTTTAGTGACATTTCAAACTGAATGTTCTCTCTCACTGTTTTCCTTTAAAGCTACATTTTAATTCAGCTTTTCCCGTAAAAACAGACTCTCAATGAATGAAATACTTCTACCATACTATTCTATCACTAGCTCCATTCCCAAACAAGCTAGCGGATTTGTGAAGCAGTGGAATTATTCAGAAAGTGGGAACTTTTTCAATTGTACTTTCAGTTTTAATGCATCTTAAAGTTCTCACTGTTTTCCTTTAAAGCTACATTTTAATTCAGCTTTTCCCGTAAAAACAGACTCTCAATGAATGAAATACTTCTACCATACTATTCTATCACTAGCTCCATTCCCAAACAAGCTAGCGGATTTGTGAAGCAGTGGAATTATTCAGAAAGTGGGAACTTTTTCAATTGTACTTTCAGTTTTAATGCATCTTAAAGTTTTATTATTCAGAAAGTGGGAACTTTTTCAATCGTATTTTCAGTTTTAATGCATCTTAAAGTCATTTTTCCTCCCCACCAATTCCTTAATCATTGCATTTCTGACTCCCCCTCTCCATTGTTCCAAGTAAACATTTCAGCAATCCCTCCCTTTTTTCCACCATGCTGGAGTCAAATCCCCACTCACCCTAGGAAACCCATTGGATCTCTTACTCCAAAGGCCTGTTAAGGTTGAAATAAGGCTGAAATGACATAACAGCATGAAACAACAACACACGTGGAAACTTAATAGACGCACATCAGTACTTCAGATGTCTCTTCTCACATTTACCTCTCTGTGACTCCATTTGCTCCGTCTCTTGGTAGAATACTTTCTACTGCACTCAAGAGAACAAGGTGGCTCAAAATGTTAAAAGGAGTTATATTAAAAACCACAAAAACTGCAAATTAAAAGGCTAGAAGGATAATGAAAAATCCATTAATTAAAACCATATAAAACTTCAAAATAAATGTGCACCTCACATGTACACTGAGCTGCCACATCATAAAATCCATTGACGGATGAAGTTTGATTATATAGTATTATTTGAAGAATTGATTGTGTTGTTATAATAACACCTGTCAAGGGATGGGATTAAGCAGCAAGTGGACACTGTCCCTGAATTTCATGTGTTGGAAGCAGGAAAGATGGGCAAGCCACAAGATCTGTGTGACTTTGACAAATGGACGAGAAGTGATGGCTAGACAACTGGGTTAGAGCATCTCCATAATGATGAGTCTCATAACTCTGCCACTGCTGCTCACTGTCCTCCTTTCTTGAAAGATGTCTTCAGATTCCTCTTGGGGACCTTCTAGCTAGGTAGTGAATGGTAGGTCCAGGAACAAATGCCAGCTAGATATCCCCCCAAAGTATTGATGCACATTCGAAGCAGCTTATGATTCTTAGCCCCTGGTCTCTTCTCTCATGTGAAAATGTGATTTCTGTTAATGAAGGACATATGGTTTCTCTCCAGAGAGGTATTTCATATAAATGAAGGTGACCACTCTGACTGAAGCTCTTTCCACATACCATGCATTTATGTAGTTTCTCCCCTGTGTGAGTTTTCTGATGTGAATTAAGGTTAGCACTGTGACTGAAACTTTTTCCACATTCCATGCATTTATATGGTTTCTCCCCTGTGTGAGTTTTTTTATGTGAACTGAGGGCACTATTGCGAATAAAGCTCTTTCCACATTCAAGGCATTTATATGGTTTCTCCCCTGTGTGGATTTTTTGATGTGACTTTAGGTGACCACTCTGATTGAAGCTCTTTCCACATTCCATGCATTCATATGGTTTTTCCCCTGTGTGCGTTCTTTGATGTGAACGGAGGGCACTGCTGTGACTGAAGCTCTTTCCACATTCCATGCATTCATATGGTTTTTCCCCTGTGTGCGTTCTTTGATGTGAACGGAGGGCACTGCTGTGACTGAAGCTCTTTCCACATTCCATGCATTTATACGGTTTCTCCCCTGTGTGTGTTCTTTGATGTGAACTTAGGTGACCACTCTTACTGAAGCTCTTTCCACATTCCATGCATTTATGTGGTTTCTCCCCTGTGTGAGTTTTTTGATGTGAATTAAGGCTACTGCTGCAACGGAAGCTCTTTCCACATTCCATGCATTTATATGGTTTCTCCCCTGTGTGAATTTTTTGATGTGACTTAAGATTAGAACTCTGACTGAAGCTCTTTCCACATTCCATGCATTTATGTGGTCTCTCCCCTGTGTGAGTTTTTTGATGTGAATTAAAGTTAGCACTGTGACTGAAGCTCTTCCCACATTCCATGCATTTATATGGTTTCTCCCCTGTGTGGGTTTTTTTATGTGAACTGAGAGCACTATTGCGAATAAATCTCTTTCCCCATTCCATGCATTTATGTGGTCTCTCCCCTGTGTGAGTTTTTTGATGTGAATTAAGGCTACTGCTGCAACGGAAGCTCTTTCCACATTCCATGCATTCATATGGTTTCTCCCCTGTGTGGGTTCGTTGATGTGCTCTTAGGTGAACACTCTGACTGAAGCTCTTTCCACATTCCATGCATTTATATGGCTTCTCTCCTCTATCAGTTCTTTGATGTGAACTTAAGTGATTCCTGTGGCTGGAGCTCATTCCACACTGCATGTATTTATATTCTTTCTCTCCCCTCATGGTTTTTTCATATAAAATACATTCATTGTTTTTAGTTATGCTCTTTCCATGTTCTATGCATTGAATTGTTTTTATGTCCTTGGTGAACTCTCCCATGTCTATTGATATTTCAGGTACACTTGAATGTTTTTCTGCATATGGGACACTTTCTCCTTCCTCTTTCTTCATGGCTGTTTCTTACAGTCAGGAGATGTTAAGCCTCAGACTCAGGAGAAGCTAGAAATTTTCGTTTCCCTCTTGTTTTATCTCTTCCCTTCTGCCTTTTTTCACCTTTTCAGTATCTCCTTCCTTCTTTTTCCTTCTTCCCATATGGTTATTTTCTGGTGACAGAAGAACTGGCCACATAGAATTCTGGTTCCAGTTACCTGATGGAGAGGGGAAAAAGACAGGGAGTACAGCACAGAAAGGAGTCTCATTTGATGGTTGTTGCAGCTTTTTTTGGGCTCTTTGACCGTGTTCTGAAGGTTTTACCTCCTAACATTTTGTCAGTCTCTGTGGCCGGCATCTTCAGAGGTCAGGAGTCAGAACTCTGTCTGTGCTTTATTGCAGCTTGTTGGATAGTTTTTATAGCTGTGGGAACAGCTTTTGTCCTTTTCAGGAGATTATGATGATCAGCGTGTTTTGTTGTGGGTATATTGTTGAAATAAGGGGAGAGATTATCTGTCACTGTGATTGATGGGTGTTGTTAGCTGGTCTTTTGTGTGCAGTGATCACTGGTCCTTGTGGCTGGGTAGAGTTCATTGACCTTTTTACAGGCTTTATTTTTCAGTGCTGAGAGCCAGGCTTTGTTGAGTTTTAAACCGTCTTCTTTTTTGTTGAAGTTCTGCTGGTGCTTGTGGATTTCAGTGGGTTCCCTGTGCAGTCTAACATAATGTTTGCTGGTGTTGTCCAGTACGTCAGTATTTTGAAATAGAATTTCATGTCCACCTTGTTTTCAGGCATGTTCCACTACTGCCGATTTTTCCGGTACAACAAAGCCTGGCTCCCAGCACTGAAAAATACAGCCTGCAAAAAGGTCAACAAACTCTGCCCAGCCACAAGGACCTGTGATCATTGCACAGAAAAGACCAGCTAATGACACCCATCAATCACAGTGACAGATCATCTCTCCCTTATCACAACAATACACCCACACCAAAACATGCTCATCACCTTACTCTCCTGAAAAAGGACAAAAAGCTGCTGCCACAGCTAAAATACTCAACTATCTAACAAACTGGAATAGAACACAGACAGAGTTCTGACTCCTGTCCTCTGAAGATGCCGGCCACAGAGACTGGCAAATGTCAGAAAGAACAACCTTCAGAACACAGCCAAAGAGCCCGAAAAACCCACAACAACCATCAGATCCTGGCCGTGAAAGCCTTTGAGAATCTCATTTGGTTTGAAATGAAGGTATTTGCTTTCTCTTTGACTGTCCTGAGGAAGAGAAAAACCCCAGAGCTGCAGCAAGGAGAAACAGAAAGAAAAGTTGCTTGTATCTCAGTTACTTTTTCTTCTGTGTGGTCAGACAGAAAGGCAAGAGTCAGGAACCATAATGTTTTGTTTGTGAAAATAATAAAAGTTCTTTTGATTGTTAAAATAAAATTCTTCATTAGATAAAAAAATTCTTCATTAAATAAAAAACTTTGGATAGTTCATCAGAATTGCTTTGCTTTTTAAAAGTGGACCCTCACAGTGAAAAGTGAAAGAATGGGAATGTCCTGAGTCCTTATGTCTAAATTAGAAGTTCTCAATTTTATGCAATACATGGAAAAGAAACAGAATATTCTTCCATGTCAGCACCAGTTTCCTATGGAATTGTAAAAAGTGGAGGGGGAAAACAGCTTTTTTGCAAAGAAAGTGTAGGGGGAAAGTAGGATCGTTTTCCCGCTCCACTTTTGTTGCAAGAAGTTTAGGGTGAAAGCAGCTTTTTGCAAAGAAAGTCAAGGAGGAAAGCACTTTCCCCACAAAAAAGTGGAGGGGGGGAAGGAGGAATCAAAGCACTTTGATACCTCCTTTCCCCTTCCACTTTCTTGAAATGAAATAAATTTTTAGTTAGAAAAGAGGTTGTGTCTTATACATGGGGGCATCTTACACATAGAAAAAATATGGTAATTACAGGGCATAGGGGAATAGCAGCCCAGTGGAAATGTACCATATGTTGAAAAACTGAGACTTGAAAGAGTTAGCTTCCCAGCCATGTCTGGGAACAAGGTAACAGGCCAGAGTAATCATGCCATAGCAGAGAGTTCAGGGTGGAGTCAAGAAAGAAAAAAAGGAAAAGGTATTGAACGTACTTATGTTGCACATGTTAATATGCCAGTACAACAATGGAACCGACTAGCTTAGGAGGTAGTGAATGCTCCAATGCTGGAGGCATTCAAGAGAAAGCCTGAAGCTTACCAACACCATTAATGACCAGTGGTGGTTCTGCAAGTCCTATAACTTGCACTCTTGGTCTCTCAAATACCTTGGTGTTAGGAGACCTCAATATTACAATATCTTGGGGCAAAGAACCTTTGTTTTACAGGCTTTTATTCTGCCAAGTGCTGCAAAGTTTGTGTCAAAACCATGACATTATGCTCCTAGTGGCAGCCAGATTCTGAGTTACAAGCCCTTGTAGTTACAGGAAGTACAGGAACAAAAAGATTCCTCAAAAGAAAAAAAAGGATTCATGCACGAGGCCTCTGGACCTTTAGGTCCTGCAGAGAGGATTGTTGGGAGTTTGATGAAGGGGAGATAAGGGTATAAATAGGGTAAAGTTTTCATAGATATTTTATGCATATGTGCCTATAGTTTTCCATATCGTTAAGACTTTTTGATTTTTACAACTTTGAAGTATTTGTATACTTATGGAACACAGAAGCCATGTGACTTAAATTAGCATTGGAAAAGCTGATGTTGCTTGGAGCCTCGTGGCGCAGTGGTTAAAACGCTGTACTGCAGCCAAAACTGTGCTCACGACCTGGGGATGCACGAGGCCTCTGGACCTTTAGGTCCTGCAGAGAGGATTGTTGGGAGTTTGATGAAGGGGAGATAAGGGTATAAATAGGGTAAAGTTTTCATAGATATTTTATGCATATGTGCCTATAGTTTTCCATATCGTTAAGACTTTTTGATTTTTACAACTTTGAAGTATTTGTATACTTATGGAACACAGACGCCATGTGACTTAAATTAGTATTGGAAAAGCTGATGTTGCTTGGAATTACTGAAACATTGTCCAATAAATAAATAAATAAATAATTACTGAAACATTGAAAAAATATATACCTTGATAACTCAGGTTTCATTTGGGATTAATTTTCCTTTTTGGATAAATGCCAGGTGTGATGGATACAGGCTTCTGGTTTTATCCAGGAGGTTTCTAAAGTTATGTAGCTAATTCATAATGTCACCATACTACAGAAGGCATTTGATGGCAAGGAATGACGACAACAATAAGGGAGGACAATTAAAAACTCAAATGTCCCCCACCCCAAAAGGTGTGTAGCTTTTGTTTTTATCCCCTATTTTTCATCCCCTTCTTGAGCTTCTGGGGCTTGGGGAAAAACAACAGGGCACAATCATCATGACCCTTACAAGTGACCAACTAAGGAAGCAGTCCATCTCCAAATCCCTCTACTCGGTACTGGTGAGGCCTCACCTTCTGTATCCAGTTCTGGACACCACACTTCAAGAAGGATGCTGACAAACTGGAAAACATCCAGAAGAGTGCAACAAGGATGGTCAAGGGCTTGGAAACCAAGCCCTTTAAGGAAGATACCAACAAAATTGGACAGGTTTGGAAGAGGGCAACAATATTGATCAAAGAACTGGAAATCAAACCCTAGTCCAGGGGTTTCCAAACTATGGCCCACGGGCCACATCCGGCCCACCTTGCCTTTTATTCTGGCCCAGGAGGCATGTGTGTGCATGTGTGTGCGTGAGTGCAGGCGGGCGGGTGCACGTACACACACATCTTCCTTCAGCCCTCAAAAATGTGGAGAAAAATGTGGCCCTTCCACTGAAAAGTTTGGAGACCCCGGCCCTAGTCCATCAGATTTACTTTGATTTTGATTCCTGCCTTGAGCTGGGGATTCAACATCAAGTTGATTTAGGCTACTTCTAACTTCATTATTCTGTTAAACAGCTGCATCCTGGCAGGAAGCAACAAGAGACATCCTTCACACACTCTGCCCAGGAGGCCAATAACCCTTACCTGGAGAGACCTTCTTGTTCCCAGAAATCTCAAGTAGGACATCAGCGTGTGGAACCCTCTAGCCTGGATGCAGAAGATCCCATTTTCCACTGAGGAAATACGAAGTCAACTCCTGAAAGAACACCAGCAGATGAAGAGACACACTCCCAATTCAGAAAGGGGAACTGGCAATCTCAGAGAGCACTTCTGTGATTTAAAAAAAAAAAACAGATTCAATTCATTGCATTGCAGTTGAAATCTAGGGTTTCACAGAGAAGAATCTGAGGCATGTTGTTCTGATTCTTGAGGATAAATTAGAGAAGAGAAGCTCCATTTGGGCTTCATGGTATTGCTTCACGGAGGCTGCCACCACTTTGTGGGGAGCGATAAAAGGCCCCCCCTAATTGAGTGGATTTCCATTCCCTTTTTAATTTTTCTCCAAAGCACGTCTGGTTCATCTTCCAGCTCCAGTGCCATTTTCCTTTCTCCAGGCACCCAGAAGTGAAACCTCAAGCTGCATTGATAAGTAACTTTAGTGCTTATTTTAAAATACCTTTTAATGCATTTTCAGATACCCATGAAATCTGAGGGAACCTAGCCTAGTCAATGCCACACCTGAAGCCCTCCCACTCTGCTCTTGTGAAGACAAGAGAGTTGGCTTCATGTGTCTCTCACAGAACGCATGACGTTTTCACAAACTCCATTTTAGGTCCTCTGGTCCCTTAGCTGTGGTTATAGGGAGAGGCCTTCACCTCCTAAATGGCTATTCAATAAGATCTCCACACTGTGGTTTATATGCCCAGCTGTTTTAACACACAAGGACCTGTGGTTTTTTTGCTCCCAAAAAGTAGGTGTGAGGTGGATAACTCAGGTATACAAAAAAAAGCACCTAATTCTTAGGGTATTATAAAGATTTATTGTTAAATTCAGGGGGAAGAATTTCCATCTTCAGATCATTCTAGCTTTGACTATATTTCATTCCTTCCTCTGTCCCCCAATTAGTGTTAAATTCAGGGGGAAGAATTTCCATCTTCAGATCATTCTAGCTTTGAATATTTCATTCCTTCCTCTGTCCCCCACATGTTGTAAACCACCCTCAGTAGCCTCCTGCCAGATGGGCAGTATATAAGAAAAGAAACAAATTATTTATCCACTTTGCAATTCTCGCTCCTTGTCTCATCTTCTTCTTTGGAGGTCAGACTCCATGCCCAACTAAGTCCTTCCCTTCCAGCCATGTCCTTCCCTCACCTCTGTAAGATCGGAGATGAGAGTAAAATTCCTCTCACTGGAGTGCCGTTCCGCCCCCCCCGCCCGTCCACAGCAGAGAAAGAAATCCAGACCCTGCCTGTTTCCCCTCCCAAGAAGACAGGACTGCTGGAGCCAAACCAGGGGAGAGTACAGGAAGATTTGAAAAGACTAACAGTCAGAGAGGCTGGAAGGACTTGGTGTTTTCTGAGGAAACGGAAACGGAGGGTGGAAGTAGAAGCAGGGCTAGCAGATATAAAAGGGGTAGAGGGGGTTGGGAGTGGATAAGAGGCTGGAAGGACTTGGTGTTTTCTGAGAAAATGGAAACGGAGGGTGGAAGTAGAAACAGGGCTAGCAGATATAAAAGGGATAGAGGGGGAGTTACCGCCAGGTTGGGAGTGGATCTGGATGAAGGATCCATGGACCGGAAAGTGGAAGAGGCTCCAGATACCCAAAGAGCAAGCAGGTTGCCGGAGGAGAAGGGAGCTCACCCTCAAACCATCATATTGGCGTGAGAAAGACCAGAGAGTGGAGGAGAAAGTTAAGAGAAGAGAAAGTGAGAAAGAGACCAGAGAGTGGAGGAGAAGAGAAAGAGAAGGTCGAGAGGGAGAGAAGGGAAAGATTAGAATGGAGAGTGAGGGAATACCAGATAAGGGGGTACCCGGAGGAATCTGGCAGACGTACACCCCCACGCGGGAACCAGCCTGGTTGGAGCTCCAGGACGAGGACACCATCGCCTTATTGGAGGGGGAAACTGGACAGGTACTGAACCCTAACCTGTCCACAGACTGGCCTGGACCTTGGAACGCTGGAGGGAAGAAACCCTTTTAAAGGTGAAGAATGGAAGCCCCCTGCTGACCCGTTGTTCGATGGAGAAAAAGGTTGGAATGTGTTTGCAGACACTGGTTTCTTGTTAAACACGGCAATAAATGTTACACCCATTTCATAACCTCGCAAGACTGGTGATTTATATGGCGGAAAAACAGGACACTGAACCTGAACCCTCACAATCCCCTCCCAATATTTCGTATCTCCCTTCACCTGCTGAGCTGGACTGGAAGCAAATAAAAGAGAAAAACACTCTGTACATGTTCAGAGAAGCAGTGTGATGGACTTTCCAAGGGTTGACTCATGAACGGAACCTTCAAAGCCCCACTTGGCCCAGAAAATTCCTGGTGTGTGTGTTTGTGCAAATCCTACTGAATCCCCTTTTTGGACGTATCACCTTACGTTGGTGCTTCTGGAGCTTGCTTTGACAAACCTCCACAGGTAACCTCCTTCCCCAAAAGGTCTCAGGAACTGTCTGGGGCACCCAAGCACATCAGAAAGCACCTCACCCTTGGCCCTTATGCTGCTCAGCAGGCGATGGACGACTCCTGCCTAGGAGGGTTTAGGGCAGCCCATGAGACACAGGGCCTGGCGCTCCAGGAAAGCTGTGGAGTCCTTCCTGCAGGCCTGAAGTCGACTCCTAACACACATGGAGGATGACCTAGCAGGGGTCTCACCCACTGACATGCCAAGGCAGGCGCTAAGAATGAAAGACTCAATTCCTGCAGGCCTGAAGTCGACTCCTAACACACATGGAGGATGACCTAGCAGGGGTTTCACCCACCGACATGCCGAGGCAGGCGCTAAGAATGGAAGACTCAAAGCGTCTCCTTCAAAGTTGCACTCACTGTTTGGCTCCCCTCCTGTTCCTCCCCAATTAAAAGAAATAAAGAAAAAAGAAAACTGTGATTTTTAGAAACTTTGTGAATTGTGAGGGAACAGAAGAGAATGACAGAAAAAACTACCAAGCTATGGACGGAATATCAGGAAATGTCTGGCGCCCAGTCACACGGACAACAGGATTCACTGACAGTCACTTCATCGGCTACAAACTAAAACTGAGAGAACCAACGTGAAGTTAAGAAAAGTTAAGAAAATGCGGGTTCTGCACCAAGTGGTTTGGGAGTGTGAAGATGAACAGAAAAACATCACATCCATCACAGTGTGTGTCTATGTCCCCCAACATGTCTCAAGGAAGATGTACTGATTGATCGATCAGAAACTCTGGGTGGGACTACATGAAGAGTCAGCTTTGGCTCCAGAAGTCTTAAGGGCTCAATCCCTGCTTCCTCTTACTGCCCTCACCCCACCTCTCCTTTCCTCCTTTGTCTCAAGGAAGATGTACTGATTGATCGATTAGAAACTCTGGGTGGGACCACACAAAAGCCTTGGCTCCAGAAGTCTTAAGGGCTCAATCATCACTTCCTCTTACTACCCGCACCACAACCTCTCCTTTCCTCCTTCCATTCTGGACTTTCTCCCCCTTGGTGCTGGAGGCTTTCGGGTTCAGTTTGGTTTTGCCCTCTCGCGATCCTTGTTCTGGAAGAAGGCAGAGCAGAAATCTTTCTCTCTCTCTGTCATCCACAGAAGCGACACAAGAGAAAGATTCTCCCAAGGAAAGCAGGGAGGAAATCCTCCTTCCCCTTCCACAGTCGATCTCCAAACTGGGATCTCAACGGGAGAGAGATCTGGTCTTTCGTCCTCTCTCCTGGATCCCCTGTGCAACATCAACTGAAGGAAAACCTCCTCAACAATCCCAAAATGACAGTCAGTGGAGAGAGAGAGACTGTTGCCAGCCTCAGCCCCCTCCCACCCACCTTCCTCTTCCTCCTTTTCCTCCTGTTAAGCCCCCCCTCCTTCCCACCCAGGGCGTTGCAGCCTCAAAACCCCTTTTTTTCTCACAGGAAAACTGAGATTGAGCCCCCCCCTCCTTGCACGTCACACACACACACACACAGAGTGCCCTGCGGGGTGGGGGACATCCGAGGGTCTCCCTGTTTCCATAAAGGGTAATCCCCGTCCCCCCACCCCTAATATCCCCAAACAGAAGACTCGGAAGGAAAGATGTGCAAATTCCGGACCCTGCAATGGAGACCCAAAGGGTGGACTTTACAATCCGGAAGGGAGAGAGAAGTCGCCTCCCCACCACCACCACCACCTCGCGTTCCCTGGGGGTGTTGCCTTCCTTTCTTGAAACCACCCCCCTCCCCGAATGGCTCACCTCCTTGCAGGTCCTGATGCCGGAAACTCCCGAGGAGACCCCCTTGCAAGCGCCTTCCCCGGAGACCACAGAGTCGGGAAGAGACCGGACGCGCCCTCTCGCCACTTCCGGTTCCTTTTTAGAAAAAAAAAAGGCTAGAAAAAGGGAGGAGCTCCTCTATCCTCTTTCGTAGATCTAGGTTTCCCCCCCTTCTAACCCAAAAAGTTTCATGAATGAAGGGTGGGGGAGGGGAGGGACCCGCATTAAAGGAATGGTGTTCCTCCTTTGGCTTGTTTCAACCGGGAACCAGAAGCGTTGACAGCAGGCGTGCCTCTTCTTTCCGCACCTCTCGAGTCCTGGCGAATCCCCTTTTGTGAAGAGGGTCTCCTCGGGAGTTTCTGGCAGAACCTTCGGTGCATCACGTTAATTCGGGGGAGGGGGGTCAGATCTCAAAGCATTTCGGAGGAGGGGGGAAAGGCTTCTCTGCTTCCCCGGAGACCATAGAGTCGGGAAGAGACTGGACGCGCCCTCCCACCACTTCCGGTTCCTTTTTAAAAAATGCTAAAAAAGGAGCTCCTCTATACTCTTTCGTAGCTCTAGGTTCCACCCCCCTTCTAACCCAAAAAGTTTCATGAATGAAGGGTGGGGGAGGGGAGGGACCCGCATTAAAGGAATGGTGTTCCTCCTTTGGCTTGTTTCAACCGGGAACCAGAAGCGTTGGCAGCAGGCGTGCCTCTTCTTTCCGCGCCTCTCGAGTCCTGGCGAATCCCCTTTGGGAAGAGGGTCTCCTCGGGAGTTTCTGGCAGAACCTTCGGTGCATCACGTTAATTCGGGGGAGGAGGTCAGACCTCAACGCATTTCGGAGGAGGGGGGAGAGGCGTCTCTAAAGAGGGTCTCCTCGGGAGTTTCTGGCAGAACCTTCGGTGCATCACGTTAATTCGGGGGAGGAGGTCAGACCTCAACGCATTTCGGAGGAGGGGGGAGAGGCGTCTCTACAAAAGGCTTTGCAAGGCAGACGTGTCTCCCCCCCCCCCCCCGGGGCTTCCGGGGGGGGGNCCCCACGGGATCTTCAGGGGAGAGATGAGATGCTGGGGGTGAGGGAGGGATTCTCCCCCCCATGTTTCCTCCGAGCAAGGTAACAGGAAGGGCTCGAACTCCTTTCCTCCGAGAAGACCCAAACACACCCACACCACACACTTGCCCTGAATCCAGCAAGCACCGGTGGGTGTAAAAAAAGGAATGAAACAAGTTAGTTGGTTCTCCCCCTCCCGCACCCAAATTTTCCTTTTCGAGCCAAAATCTCAAGCCTGCCCCCCTGAAGAAATCCTAGCCCCTCCCTCTTTCCCAAATCCTGGGAAAAGCTGCAAGTCCCCCGGGAGGGTGCAGAGAGGAAGAGGAGGGGCTGCCAAGGGGGAGGAAGGGCAGCAGGAGGGATGGGAGGAGAAGGTGGGGGTCAGCTGGGTGGGAGGGAGCTGATCCTGGCATGGGAATGTCTTCCCATCTTCTTTCTATGCAAAACACACACACACACAGACACACACACAAAAGGGGGGGGGAAGCAAGAGAACCCTCAGTAGCAGTGGGGGGCATATCCAAATCAGAAGACCAAAGGCCAGGCTGATTCAAATTGATCATTACAGTCTTGTTGTTCTTTAGTCATTAAGTCACGTCCAACTCTTCATGACCCCATGGACCAGAGCACGCCAGGCCCTCCTATCTTCCACCGCCTTTGGAGTTTCGTCCAGTTCATGTTGGTCACTTCGGTGAAACTGTCCAACCATCTCGTCCTCTGTCATCCCTTTCTCCTCTTGCCTTCACACTTCCCCAACATCAGGGTGTTTTTCAAGGAGTCTTCTCTTCTCATGAGATGGCCAAAGTATTGAAGCCTTAGCTTCAGGATCTGTTCTTCCAGTGAGCACTCATGGTTGATTTCCTGCAGAATGGATAGGTTTGTTCTCCTTTCGTCCAATTCATGTTTGTCACTTCGGTGAAACTGTCCAACCATCTCGTCCTCTGTCATCCCTTTCTCCTCTTGCCTTCACACTTCCCCAACATCAGGGTGTTTTTCAAGGAGTCTTCTCTTCTCATGAGATGGCCAAAGTATTGAAGCCTTAGCTTCAGGATCTGTTCTTCCAGTGAGCACTCATGGTTGATTTCCTGCAGAATGGATAGGTTTGTTCTCCTTGCAGTCCAGGGGATTCTCAAGAGCCTCCTCCAGCACCACAATTCAAAAGCATCAATTCTTCAGCAGTCAGCCTTCTTTATGGGCCAGCTCTCACTTCCATACATCACGACAGGAAAAACCATAGCTTTGACTATGTGGATCTTTGTCGGCAAGGTGATGTCTCTGCTTTTTAAGATGCTGTCTAGGTTTGTCATTGCTTTCCTCCCAAGAAGCAGGCGTCTTTTAATTTCGTGGCTGCTGTCACCATCTGCAGTGATTATGGAGCCCAAGAAAGTAAAATCTGTCACTGCCTCCATATCTTCCCCTTCTATTTCCCAGGAGGTGATGGGGCCAGTGGCCATGATCTTAGTTTTTTTTGATGTTGAGTTTCAGACCATTTTTTGCACTCTCCTCTTTCACCCTCATTACAAGGTTCTTTAGTTCCTCCTCATTTTCTGCCATCAGAGTGGTATCATCTGCATATCGGAGGTTTTTGGTATTTCTTCCGGCAATCTTAATTCCGGCTTGGGATTCCTCCAGTCCAGCCTTTCACATGATGTATTCTGCATACAAGTTAAATAAGCCGGGAGGCAGTATACAGCCTTGTCATACTCCTTTCGCAATTTTGAACCAGTCAGTTGTTCCATGACCAGTTCTAACTGTTGCTTCCTGTCCCACATATAGATTTCTCAGGAGACAAATAAGGTGGTCAGGCACTCCCATTTCTTTAAGGATTTGCCATAGTTTACTGTGGTCCACCCAGTCAGAGGCTTTTGCATAGTCAATGAAGCAGAAGTAGGTGTTTTTCTGGAACTCTCTGGCTTTCTCCATAATCCAGCGCATGTTAGCAATTTGGTCTCGAGTTCCTCTGCCTCTTCGGAATCCCGCTTGTACTTCTGGGAGTTCTCGGTCCATAATCTGCAGAAGCTGGAAATTTCCTTTTCCCTCTTGGTGTCTCTCTTCCCTTTGGCCTTATTTCTCATTTTTGGTATCTCATTTCCTGGCTTTTCTTTCTTCCCATATGCTTCTTTTTGGTTAAAGAAGTCTTGGCCACATATAATATTGCTTCTCTCGTTTGTTACCTGAAGGAGGAAAAAAACCATGGGGAGCACAGCACAGAAATGAATCTCATTTGGGTTGAAGTGAAGGTATTGGATTTCTCTTGTTAGAAGGAAGGGAAAAAACCCAGAACTGCACCAAGGAGCAGCAGAAGGAAAATGAAAAGGTTCTTGTGACTTGATTACTTTTGATTTTTGACTTTGAAAACCCTTTGCTTACTTAAAATGCAAACATCTTAATTGCTAAAAAATTTTGAAATATGGAAATAAATTTTCTGATCATTTCTATGTTATAACCATCTTAGTCTACAAAATGGTAATAAGAAACTAGTTATGAAATATTTCAGCTTCACATTGATCTATGTATAAGGACCAATCATTGAGGGCAGGATGACTTTGTTTCCAAGTAGAAATGAAAATGAATCAGGAAATATTATGGAAAACGCCTGGAAACACTTGAACTGAGATTGCATAAAATATACATTCAGGTTTAACATTGGTTTTTGCTAGTAAAACTAACATTGAAACATGCTCAAATCCTCAACTTTCCAGGGAAGGAGCAGGGAGGAATGCCAACATATAAAATTTCACGTGCATAGCGTGTTCAAATAATTACAGGGCATGGGGGAAAGCAGCCCAGTGGAAACGTATGATGCATTGAAAAACTAAAGCTTGAAAGAGTTAGTTCTCTAGCCAAGCTTGGGAACAAGGTCACAGGATAGAATAATCTTGCCATAGCTGACAGTTCATCTCAAGTCAAGACCCCACTGTAGTTCTCTAGCCAAGCCTGGGAACAAGGTCACAGGACAGAATAATCTTGCCATAGCTGACAGTTCCGGGTGGAGTCAAGAAAGGAGAGAAGTGAAAGAGTATTATCTGTATTTATGTTCCATGTGTTAATATGCCAGTACGAGGATGGAGCCGACTAGCTTGGGAGGTAGTGAAGGTTCCACTGCTGGAGGCATTGAAGAGAAAGCCTGACAGCCATATGTCAGATACACTCTAATTGGGATTGATGCACCGAGCAGGGGGGTTGGACTTGACATCCTTACAGGTCCTTTCCAACTCTACTGCTGACCAGAGGCGGCTTTTGCAAGTCCTATAGTCCACTCTTGGTCACTCAAATACCTTGGTGTGAGTAGACCTTGATGTTACAGTATCTCGGGGTCCAGATCCTTTGCTTTAAAGGCTTTCATTCTACCAGGCTTTGTAAAATTTGAGTCAAAACCATGACAACGCATTCCTTCAATACTCTTGCATGCAGTTCATTAGGCTGTGGAGATCTGAACTCGTTCTTTAATTATTTGGTTGTCAGTCTCAAGATGCAATAGTGATAACACAGTAATCATACCACATATGTTTTCTGAAATAAACATATCAAAGAAAGTTCCTTCAGACATAGTGGAAAAGGATTTGAAACTGAAGGAAATTCGGATGGCTTAAGCTAGCCCCGTACATGGTCAAGGGCAGTGGTTGCCCACCTGGGGGCCCCAGATGTTCTTGGACTAAAACTCCCAGAAGAAGCCGTCACCGCTAGCTGCGCTGGCCAGGATGTCTGAAGTTGTCATCCAAGAACATCTGGGGATCCAAGGTTAGGAACTGCTGATCGTGGATACAAGCAAATGTTATAATTTTGACATATTATTAACTTACATTTTGAATCTCAACTTTAGATTTTTTAAATAAGAGGAAAAAAAAGAATACCCAATGTGGTGTAGTGGAGGTAAAGACAGACTAGGACTCTGGAGACCAGGGTCCGAATCCTCTGTGGGTTATGAGGGAGTGAAATTGGTAAAGCCACTTCTTAAGTATCTCACTTCCCTTGAAAGCCTTATTAGAGTCACTCACTGTAAGTCAATTCTGACTTCATGGCACAAATTAGGAAAT